AAAATTTTAAAAATAAAAACTAAATTATTTTTCAATAAATTTTTAGGTCCTCTCCTGTCTACCCGCCCTCTCTCTACCCGCATCTCCCTTGTATCTCTGCCCCTCTCTTTGCTCCTCTGCCTCCGTGTCTCTCACCCTCATCTTTGTTTTTCCACCCCCATCTCAATTGAAACAAACCATTGCCAACAATAATGATGGTGATGCTTCCTAACCCTTAGCCGATGGGTGAAATCAAACCCATGTTTTCCAATTTTCTTTTGGTTATTATCAATTTTCCAAGAGAAGGCAAGTGCCACCACCACGACACCGGTGTCCCTCTGAGGTAGTTTTCTTTCTCCCTTCCCCACCCCTTATTTCTGTCATCCTTTATGCGCACAAATCACCCCCATAGATGCCCTAATTCACCTCTCACCACTTATTGTTTCTCTCATTCTCTCTTCTTCCCTTCCCCGTTTCTAGTCTCTCCATCTCTCTCCTATGTTGGTAACCACAAGACTCTCTATTTATCACTATATCTGTCTCTCTCTCCGCACAACACACAAATGCACACAAGGTGTTCAGTCAAAGGACCGTAACACTCAACGCACACACATAGCACACACACCACATGCCACACTTCCCACACACACACACACACAACAGTACACACATAGCACGCACACCACATGCCACACAGCCCAGTTAATGCACTGGCAAGCATAGCTATCTAAGGTTTTATGAAGGCGGGGGTGACTTAAATGAAGAACCACATAGTGCACCTGCATTATCTTCCATCCATTAATAAAATTAGTCACCTACTTAATTGATTCAGAGATTGTTTTTGGGTTGCTTCATCCACTTGCTGTATAATTCTGTTAGTTTTATACTGTAATTCATATAGGTATGCTAATTGTCCCCCTTTCCTTTTTTTCCCTCTTGTATTTTTCCTTCTCTCAAAAGGTTAGGAGGCCATCAAATTTTCTGGATTGCTATTCCTATTCCTTTCGATATTGTCTAACAGGTTTGTGGATTTCTTGTTTGTTCATGGCTAATGTTGGCAAACTTCAAATTTTGTCTTTAGTGGCCTAGAAGACGAATCAAATTATATGGCAGTTTGAAAGTGGGTAAATTAAAGTACTTCAGTCGATATCCATGTTGGACACTGCCATTCGAATTAATGCATATGCTTTTCGCCATTGGGTCAAAAAAATGGAAGAATTAGAAGCTGATGCAGATGTTTGATTATGATACTAATTTTATGATTGATAAGCAATGCAAAGTTTAAGGGCAACTGAGCCGTTCAAATTTTGCCCAGACTATTTAAACTGGATGCATGCATCCCAATCATCTGTTTGATTGTCTTTGAGTCGTCAAATCCCTTTCTTGATGAATTCACCGGTATTTCTTTATTGGACTCACTTCATGCAGAATTTTTAAGCCATCTACTTATTTCGCTACTATGATCGGTTCTGGGGCAAATGCATTTAGGCATAAAACTAAAGCAATCTTCTGGGTACTAAAACCTCAATGTTGCTAGTCAAGTTTCTAGAAGTTAAATGTGCGTAGCGTTCTTATTGCTAAGAACTATTCTTTAGCAATGATATGCAAAGTGCAAGGATTTGCATGGATGTTATCTGATGAACTTTTCGTGCTAAAATGAATCTCACTTTTTGATTCATTTGAGGTTTTCGCATAAACATATTTCCCACTCACTTAAAATGTCATGTAGCTAATATGTAGTATGTCGGACACTTACCAGTTTATAATATGTAATATGTAGTATGTCCCACTACAAGGGAGCATTACCAGTTTATCTTCCTGTTTACTTAATTCTTGCACTAATTGTACATCGTCAACGACTCTTGAACAGGTAATATATTTTGTTATTTCCTCCATAGTTGATTGAGTTTCTTCCACTAATTGGATCCTCTTGGACATTATTTACTTTGTTATTCCTGATCTACCTTGTGTAAACCTTACACAATTTTGGGGAAAGGTGTTCTGGGCACTGCAAGGTCAAGCTTATTTTTATCCATGTATTGTTCATCTGCCTGGTAAGCATTATTTTGCTGCATTCTAGTGTTACTACTTTTAGTATATATGTTCTCATACATTCGTAAGAATTGTTCTCCTTTTTTTTTTTTGTTTGTTTTATGAGGCATTCTTAACCCCTTTGGAGGTGGGACTAATCCTGCTTAAAGGACAAGGTGATCTTGAAACCCCCAGGGGTAGTCCTAGATTGTAAAACCTTAGTGAATTTAAAATTTTTATAACAAAGGCAAAATGATAATTTGTCATTACGATACGGATTGTAAACTTAAATTTTTCTAGATCTCAGATGATGAAACGAATCTTATCGTTAGATTCGTCTCGCGAAATCTAATTACCTTGTTAAATTTCATCAAATTATGAAATAGTCATATTTTTTACGTTTTACGAGGCTGTCGAGTCTCGGGTGACCCAAAAATGAGATTTTTGATAAAACTTTAAAAGTTGAAAAATTATTTAAGGTAAGTTAAAAATAAAAATATTTAAACATGAATAGTGATGAAATTTAATCATTTTGGAGCAAAAACAGACCCGGAGAAAAAAGGGTTGTGTAGCGCGCTGTGGGCCAAGAGTTTAGGGACTATAAATAGGGGGCAAAAATCAGATTTCACACCCCATTCTTCAGCTAGTTTCAATGAGAGCAAAGAAGAGAGGGAAAAAGAGAAGTTCTCCACCTTCTCTCTACGATCTAGGAAGTTACGGAGCTCAAATCCATACGGGCCAAGAATTAAAGTAGCTCCTCTCGCCGAAGGCTACGTAATCATACTAAAAACAACGGGTTTTATCGAAGATCAAGGTACGAGATTTTTAGAAGTTTGAAATTTGGGCTAGAAGTGGATTCTTAGAACTTCCTACGGTCGTTTCTTACGCTTCAAGAGGTAAGGTTCTTTCCTACTTGAGTTTATTTTATAACCTAGGGTGTTATATGTAATGAGTAGATTGGTGGATATGTATATATATATTATTTGCCTATGATTGTGGAATTGATGAAATGGGTATGGAAAATGTTTAACAAATGAATTCCTAGCTTGTAATTAATATATGTGGTGATTGCTTGTATAATTCCATGGAATTTTGTACCTTGGGGTTATGTGAATCTTTCCCCAAAGTGATTTATGAAAAAAGTTGTATTATGTGGGAATGCTATGTGTTTAAATTCATGCTTTGGAAAATTAAGTGTGTCATTGGCATATATAAAATAACATGCTATGGATTATGGTTGGATATGAACATGTTGATATAGTAACATTGAGATAAAATATGGCTATTATATGCATATGATATTAATAGCTATGAACTATGAAAATTTATGTTAAAGTTATTCATATGACATTCATTACATGTGGGTAGAACATTGAAATAACAACGGTGCATTACATTACATATGCACGGAGACATCACATATATGGGTGTGTGTGCATGGTTGTTTGTCAACACCACGCTCGGTGGATGACAAATGGGCTCAAGTAAGCTTGGTCGAAGACTTGGCCGAGTCTCACGGATTACTTGCTGATTAGGGTTGGGGTTAGCAAGAAGAGCTAGAAGATCTCTCGGGTGCAAGGCCCAGTGATGGGGTACGCACTTCCTTGGCACAGTCCATGAAGTGTGTGGGTGTACGCGGAACCCTCGGTGGAAGTCCGTAAATTTCGTGTGGGTTGGGTGACCCTTGGTGTGAGTCCATAAACATCCACCCCCTACAAAGACCTTGGAGAACTTTTATAACGGTCATTGGATGAGTGAAAACCAATGGCGAGGGTTGAAAAATTCAGGCATAATACTCATGACATTACATGGGGTAAAGGAGCGAGTGAGGGCTCGGATTGAGTTGCGCGAGTGGGTATCATCTTATATCATGGCACGGCATGTTAAATTCTAACATAGATTGATTAGTCTTGATTGGAACAATGGTTGTTTATGAACTGTTGCATGTGAACATTGCATATGCACTTAGGTTGGGGGAGTAGCCTCTGCAGGAAGTATTCTATTGGGCGTTGGCTCATCCTATACGGAAAACATTTCATGTGCGGGACATACTCCGACGGACGGCTCGTATTCGGGGGCTCTTGGGTGAAGAAAAGCCGGGTTGTGACTTTTGAATACAAGTTTGGTGTAAAACTTTTGTTCAAATTCTATTTTGACATGTAATCGTGTAAATAACTAGTAATAGAACTTGTAGATATCAAGTTTTAAGGGAATAAACATCATTATATATGTTTGAGATGATGTTGAAATGGTTAAAATTAGATTTGAAATATAAAACAAGTGAAACAGGGAAAATGGGCATAGCGTACCGGTACGCGTATTGGTACGGCGAGGTCCAGTAAGGCACGCGTACCAGTACGCTTTGGCAGATTTTGAAATTTTTTTTTTCTTCTAAGGCCTTGGGCTATACATCATTTGGTTCCAATGATACAAATGGACTTAAATGGAGATATATTGGAGTACATTGAACCTCAATAGGATTAAATGATTAATGGAACACGGGTGTTACGTGTGATGTAAAATTCCGGTAATGAGATAATATTAGAATGATGTCGGATCAAGCGACACTCACGGGTATTTTTGCGGATTGATGGGTTGTTAACAGAACCTCCGATTTTAGGAGTGTCACATTGATAGCAGTTTGACCTTGGGACCTTGGGACTTTGGGTCAATTCCATAGCCGTTCACCAAGTTGGTGAGTGTGTTAAATAGAAAGCAATATGGTCAACATTTCTTTGCATGCCAAAGGAGTTGCATTATAACTCTCAGGTTAACTCATGGCCCTGATGCTATACATCAGTTCCATGGAATTTGTATTTTGTAGTACCTTCTGAATTTCACCTTTTTCGAGGAAATCACTTTATTCTAAGACGTTCTTTTGGACAGCTCAAGAATTATTCGGTTCTATATAAATGACATATGCTGTCTTTGACTAATTTTGCTAAAATAATTTAATGAGTATGTAATACTGAAAGAAATAAAAATTTGATATGCCTGAAGTGAGTTTTCGTGCCAGCTAGTTGTTGAGGATGTTGCAAGCCCATTTGGATTGCACCATTTTATACGATACACTTAGGTTTAGCAGCAAATCTGAAGCTTAAGTCAGTTTAGCAGCAAATCTGAAGCTTAAGTCAGCTCACTCTGATGCACATGCAGCTCAACACCTTCAGTCAGCTCACAGATGCAGCTTTTGAAGCTTAAGACCTGATACAATCTGCACTCCTCACAACAGCCCAGTCATCAAGACAGAACGCAAAATAGAAACTGCTGCTCCATTTGCTCCTCCTTTCTTTAGCTTTCAACACCTCTAATCAGTACCCAAGAAACCTTGACTCATCAGCATAAACCAGCACTATCTGTACAAGCTGACTTAGCCATTAGCCATTAGCCTTTAGCCCAAGACACCCAATGTCTCTTCCTATTATCCAACTTGTTTGACCAAATGAAAACAGCCATCATGGAGTTCATACGAGCCAAAATAGTCTTAGGTAAGTTTACACAAGCCAATAAATGAATAGGAAAGGAATAGAACTCAGCACTGCCTGCACCAGAAGAACTCTACCCATATTAGAAAGCAACTTAGAATACCATCCCTCCATTCTTTGACGAAATTTCACTAATACCTCCTCAAAGTACCTGATAGAAATCCAATGCCTGGACACTTGCTGGTGCAATTGGTCCCACGGACTGGAATGAAGCTCTGGATGTTATTGTTGATGGTTCTCCTGAGCAGGTTTGCCTTTTGCCTAATGTTTTTTGTATGGGATTATAAAGAATATAATGAAAATTAACATTGATCATTGTCAAGTCTTGTATTTTAGGTTAATAATGTGTAGTGTGTTGTGACTTTACATTAAGAAACATGAATGCAAATTAGAACTATGGAAGACAGGGTATGAAAATTAGAACAATAGTCAGCAGGATCACTATCACAACAACATTTGCTTTTAACTATGATGTTTTGGTGCTGTCAGTAACTTTAGTCAGATTTGAATTATTTTCTTTTTTGGGCAATACGTCCATACTGCCTTTTTTAATTGAAGTTTGGAGTTTTCTTGAGTAGAATTCTATGTATGTCTTGTCTCATTTAAGAGATACTGTGTTGATGCAGTCTGTTGAAGGAACGAAGGTTGTGTGCCATGATCTAGCACAGGCAACCAGTGATCCCAAAAGCAGTGCAATGTTTGATGCAGTCTGTGCACTGCTGATGAGTAGCAGGTGAAGCTGGACTGTTGTAGATATGCTGAGATGAAATGATGTTCAGAGGGTGCTGTCTGCTTTAAAGAGCCAAGAGCTTAATGGATCAAACACCTGGACTGTGGCCTGATTGTTCTGATCTGACTTCAGTCTGGCCTGGTACTGATCTGTTGAGCTTGGTGATGGTATTTCGAGACATGGAGCTGCATTGTTGTTCAAGTTTAAGAGACATTAAATGTAATTAGAGATGATTTAAATCTTCTTGAAGGATTAAAGTCATTTTTTCTATTTTTAGAACTATTTATTCTTTGATTCTTGTAATTTATTCTTTTTGAAAATAAAATTTTATTTTATTTTTTTAAAAAAGATGTGAAATGTATGTTGAATGGAAAACATATGAAATGTATTAATTATGTTAATTTTTATTGAACACAGGTATTATTGGTGTACAGGTGAAATTTTTTATTAGAATATCATTTTTTAAGAATTATTAATGAACTTTTTTACGACGAAATTAAAATTGTCGCAAAAAATTGTAGGAATAATCTTTTTCGCGACGATTTTTATACGTCGCAAATGTATTTATTCAATTATTATTAATATTTTTTATTTATGTAAAAAATTATTTGCGACAATATTTTTACTTCGCTAAAAATTAATTAAATTATTTTTTTATATTTTTTATTTATGTAAAAAAGTATTGACAACGATTTTTTGACGTCGCTAAAAATTAATTAAATTATTTTTTTTAAGTTGGTGGAATATATTTTAGCTACTTTTTTTAAAATTTTAGTGACGTTTTTTTTTTGTCGTAAATTTTTTTTTTTTTTGTAATGAAAATAAATTTGTGTCGCAAAATACTTTTTGTGACGAGGCTATTGCGATGAACATGCGACGAAAAAAAAATGTTACAAAAAATAATTGACAACGATTTTTTTTTAATTTAGCGACGAATAAAATCGTTGCAAAAAACGATTTTTGTTGTAGTGACTCAAAATTGACACCATCAACCCGTTTATTTAAAAAATAAACAATTTCTCTATTTTCTGGTTTATATGGTAACACAAAATTAACATGTTTTTCTAGTATTATAGACATAAAATATTAATTATTTGTAACTATTTATTAATCACTGACATAATTATTGTATAAAAAAGATATTTTTACATTATTATTATATTTATAGAAGATAATTTTTAGTTTCTAGAAAAAATATTAGCATTGATTCAATTAAGTGAAAATAGAATATTAGCGTCAAATGTTTTATTTAAAGTTTATGTGGGTCAACACGAATATGAACACGAACACGACACGACACGAAAATAAATAGGTCAACTCATAACTCGACATAACACAATTAGTTAAATGAGTTGAGTTAGGTTTGATTAATGTTCGACACAAATCCGTAATGACTCTACACAAATCTGACACGACACGACTCGATTGTCACTCTTAATTTCTATCTATCCAATCAAAAACAAAAGAATGAAAATTTTTCATTCCTACTTTTCTTCCTTCAGGATATAAAATATATCTTTTATATTTTTCATCTTTCTTACTTTTTATCATTGCTATTAAAGAAAGCATAATAGAATTTCGCAACGAGGAAAAGAGAGCCACTTATACTTTCATCTTAAGGTTGCTGCCCCTTTTGCTATAATCAGGAACTTCTCTAATTATGTACTTTGATAAAAGGAACCATGACCGTCATATTGAATGCAAAAAAACGGCCCAGAATTTTTATGATCCACTGTCATCCTAAGAAGTTCAATTTTATGCATGACCATGACGCTGATCAGACATTTCTCTCTGTCACGTGCTATTGTCTCCCATGGACATGGTGTGCAAGCGGGTGATAACCTGTGGCCCAATCCGAATGCCCTGCAAGCCATCTGTATACCCAACCCAACCATCTTTCATGCAGACTATGACTCTTGCGGATGAATTAGTTCTGAAATGAGTTCTATTAATGTAGAATTGATTGATTATCTGAATCGATTTTGAATCCTGCACATTATATATCAAGCGTTTGAATTTAAGGTCCTTCGGAGGCCGGTATACCAAATAAGACTTATTATTATACTAGTTGGTGCACACGTACACTGCACGTGAACTATTTTATATTACAATTACTTTTTTTGAAGTTTATTTTTCAATATTGGAGCAATTTTGAAATATGACGAGGGATGTATAGAGAAGCAAAAAATAAATGAAAGTGCAAAGTAATAAAGTTGACTCAAAGTAATATATGATCGTAGTCTTACATTCATAATTAGGAATGAGTGAAAAAATAAAAACCTACCTAACGGAAATTATTGTAACAGACAAATGTAAATGGGTCTCAATGGTTTGGTACAACAGTGAATAGTGAAAGAGGAGACAGTAAAAAGTCAATACACAAAAATAGAATCAAAATCGGCGAATTGATTATAAGCACTATACCAAATCAAAAAAAATAACACTTTCCCTTGAGCTTTGTTAAGAACCCAAATAATTTCACCAACTCTTCTCGGAATGTTGTTTTCCTTAGTAACACAAAAGGGTTGCTTGAGCCTTTCTGCTTGCAAGATTCTTGTCATTTGAGGAGCTTTCATGTAGCACCTTTATAGTTTTACAATTGTATATTGAAAGAGAAGCTTGACTCCAAAAAATTCTAACATGTATGACAAGAATTTAAACTCAATTATGCAAATTGATGATATTAGGCCAAAAAATAAGAATTCAAATTGCACATTAACATACAACAACATCAAACAATAACTTCCTCACAATAACCCTTAATTAATTTTATCCCTCCTTACTTTCAATAATTCGAAAGGTCTACCACTTGGTTGTTGATAACATGTACAATAACCAAACAACACTCTTCGAGGAATTGTAAATTCATAAACATAGTATGAGAGCATAAAGCTAGAACTCTCGAAGCTAGAACTCTCGCAACTAATAACCAAAAAGGGGGAGGGCGAAAAAAGTGCAGACTATTATAAAGTAACAATTAATTCCCACCTATAACTTAATACATCCAATTACTGGCAGGGATGAACCAATTTGGTACATGGTAAATTAAAAAATACCTATTAACAACACTTTTAGCATGCTTTCTAGAGGCGACAATCGAACAAGCTTCAAACCCTCTAAGAAAAAACAGTTGGCCTATTTTAATAAGTAAAGAAAATTGATTTCTACTAATCACTAAAGATTAATAAATACTAGAACTAAGAACATGAAATATTTTAGAAAGATCACGAGAATACATACACAAGAACAAAGTGTATTACTCATAAATAACCGATAAAGTGGACATTATCGTTTGTTTTGGCATTGGCAATGCACCAAATGTAGGAGGCCTTTGCCACCTTGAAAATGGTACTTTATTGCCATACTCCCGGAGAAATTCCCATTGAAATTGCATGAAACTATTTTGAGAGAAATTTGTTAACAGGGTGCACCAATCAAGATTGGATTGGTAAAAATATACACTGGTGCATCCTCTGAGTTTCGCTGCACCCTCTGAGTCACCAATAGAATATTTGTAGAATTTATATGAAGTTATCATGGAGTTTCACACCGTCAATGAAAATGAAAACTCAAGAAGTAACAAACATGAATCGACTTGTAAGTTTTCCACAGAAGGGTGCCATAATTTATAATTTTTTGACCGAGCCATCAAGGTTCCCATCTGGCTTCACAGCCATGTACCTCTCAATCAACTTGTTCACTGGAGGCTTGAATTTGTGCATATGATACAATTAAAAACAAGCAAAATAAAAATCGATAATCAAGCCCTAATTAGTCAAACAAGTGAAATGACACACAAAAGAGAAGAGAAAGGCAGACACACACACACACACAGCTAGAGAATCCCGGTCAACCAGAATCAAAAGAAATACTGAGCATTAAAAAACACCGCTAATGCTACATTTTATGCAAATGCACTGCACACCTTGTTTTTTGCGTTTGAAATCAAGAAACTCGAAAGCAATCAATGCTTCTCGAAATCTGTGGTCTGTTCCATGACCTAATACCAGTCTCCCAAAAAAATAAAATGAATGCCACAAAATAAAGAAGGTATCAGTGACGATTAACTAAATCAGAGTAAATTATAAGCATAGTATGATTGTAAGTTGTTTTGCTGCTTTTTCTAATTCTTACATGCAGATGTTCCTTTGTACAATTTAAACACCTGCTAGAGAGGAGATCTTATTTCCCTAGAATGCACATACTAATGAGGAGGAAAAAAATTGGATACACAGTGATCGTGTCGTATTGTCATTCTTAGTAGTGGTTAGTTGGGTTTATGTAGTTTTTAGCCATGTTTGTGTTAACCCAACCATAAAATAATTAGATATCACTTTTAATCTTTTCTAGAATTGAATCAAATATATGATTATAAAGTTTCATTGATTTTCAGATTGTAACATAGGTTGAATGTCAATTAATATCTACATGTTTCTATAACTAAGTTAATTCTACCATTTTGTTGCATTTTCTAGAGAAATATAAATTTTGGAATGGGCAAACAATGAGGAAATGAAGAGCACTTTAGCTAAAGGAAACAACTTATCTTTGCAGGCCATTGTATTAGTGGTTCACTTACCTCAGAAATCAACCTGCAAAACAATCTAGTAATAATCTAACACCAACATAATCTTAGAGACAATCTAACCCAAATTTTCACCAATGCATAAATAATCACAATCCACCTCACAACATATGAACAAACAACAAAATTTCATTGCATGTGTAAGAAAAATATATTCAACAAAGGAAGCATGCAAAGCAAGTTATTAAAAAATAGTGAACTTTACATGAATGGGCATGCTATTTATGATCACTGCACACACATATATACCACATAAATACCATGTCACCTTGTAGGAAATTGTAAAATTTTTATGATGGTCATTGGCCCTTAACCAATCACAGAACAATTCTGAGTAACAAAGTGGAAGCAAATGATATACTTTTATTATTTCACCTACCCAATGTGTTATTCATTGTTCGAGCAATGTTAGAAATCATGTC